GAAGGAGGGGGGCTGCCACGGGGCTGTAAGCTCTCTGCACCCTCACGCTCCCGCACATTACAGCCACCACCACCACCACCACCATCACCACCACACTACCCTACACAATCCTACGGCCGCTGCCGCATCTCCCCCGGGGGGGGTCTCCACCGCACCGCACCAGGGCCATAGCCACCACCACCTACTGCTACTGCTACTGCTACTGCCGCTGCTACTGCATGGCAGGTGTTTCCGGCAGCAGCGGCACCCAGGCAGCCGACCCTGCGGGGCGCCCCTGCTGCTGCTGCCGCGGCCGGTACCTCGCATGTCGGTGCTGGCGGCCCCGCTGGTGCCGGTGCCAGGCCCCTACCGGGCGGCGAACCCCGCACACGCCCTCACAGCAACCCGCAGAGTACCGCAACGAACACGACCTCAGCAGTAGCAGCTGCAGCAGTAGCAACCGCCACCAGCAGCCAAGTACAGTCCCAACGGCAACAGCCAGGGCCGCAGCCGTCCCCCACGCCCGCACCAGGCCCCGCAATGCACCCACCATCGCGGCCACAGCAACCAAGCCAACAGCAGCACATTCCGGGCATGCAGCAGCAGCAGCAGCAGCAGCAACGGGGTGGTGCTACTGCTGCTGGTACGGGTGCTACTGCTCTACTTGGCATCATGGGGCCGCCGCCGCCACGTCTCCAAAATTCGACACTGCAACAACAACAACAACAGCAGCAGCAACAGGACATACATACAGCTCCGACGGCGAATGTGACCACCCCAAGAGGCGCCCCCGTGCCCGCACCCGCCCCCGGGCTCCCCCCCAGACCGGGTGTCAGCAGCGGCGGCAGCGGCCCCAACCTCTCATTCAGCGCTGGCGGCGGCGGCGGCGGCAGCAGCAGTGTTGCACGTCGCAAAAAGATAGTGGGGCTGGATGACATGGATGTGGATCTCGATTTGGATTTGGATCTGGATTTAGATTTCGGTGTCGATTCTGGATTGAGTCGAGGTGGTGGAACCTCGGCCGTCCCCGATCATCCCCAGCAGCTGCAGGGCCCGCTTTCACGCTTTCAGCCACTACAGCCACGCCAGCCACTACAGCCACTGCGCCACCATCACCATCACCAGCAGCAGCAGCAGCAGCAGCAAGAGCCACGGCAGCCAGAGCAGCAAGATCAGAAGCCGCGGCACCAGTACACCGCAGCACCGCCACCACAACAGCTCCCACCGAATGGTCAACATTATCATCAACAGCAGCAACAGCCCCACAGTCACCACGACCACCAAGGAGGGGGGCCAACACCGATACAGCCACCTCAGCCACCACAGCCCCCACCACCACCGGCGGCAGCGGCAGTGCCTCCACTGCCATTGGATTACCGACAACAGGCTCCGCACCCGCACCCTCTGCAGGAGCACCCGCACCCAGCCTCATCAGCCCTGCTTTCGCCCGGCCGGCCGGGTGCCGCCGGGATGTGGGACGGGGGTGGGGGGGGCACCGCTGCGGAAGGAGACGGAGGGAGAGGCGTTCGGAGGCTGCTGCAGGCAGACCGGGAGGGGGAGGGGGAGGGGGAGGGGGAGGGGGAGGGGGATGCAGTGGTGGGCCTGATGCTGCCGGTGTTTTCCGTCTTGGGGAAGCGCCGGCCGGCTCCGGCGGAAGAGCTCCCGGCGGGGGGGACTCGGGGGCTGATGGAGCAGGAAGGGCCCCGCCAGCCGCAACGCAACAGGCAGCAACCTCTGCCACCACTGCAGCAGCAGCAGCAACAGCAGCAGCAGCAACTACACCGAGCTCAGTCGCTGAATCGGCCGCAGCATGGACACCAGCAGCAGCAGCAGCAGCAGGAGGCTCGATGGCCGCAGCCGCCAGCCGCCGTCGCCACCACGGCGCCTGTTTTCACCAGGCGGCCTGGGGGCGGCGGCGGCGGCGGCGGCGCACTGCAGGACCACACCACTGCAGCGGCAGCGGCAGATGGGATGGACCGGGACAGTCAGCTTGAGGTGGACTCAGGAGTACGACCGCCAGGAGGAGGAGCGGGGTCGTCGTACACCGGCGGCACCGGCGGCGGTGCCGCCGCAGCCGCCCTAACGGCGCCGCTGTCTCGGCCGGTCGCGTCGGCCCTTGACCTGTTCTATTTCCAATCGCAATCGCAGCCGCAATCGCAGCTGCCTCAGCGGGCGCTTCCTGCCCCGCTGCCATCGGCGGCGCGGCCGCTGCCTTCCGCGCCGTCCTTCGCGTTGCCTGTGCCTGCGGCGGCGGCGGCGGCTCGTGGCGGCAGTAGCAGCGGAGGAGTCGGTTCCGGAGCGGGCGTGCGGGAGCGCGGCAGAGCGGCTCTCCTTAGCCGGATGTTTTTTTCGCACGCGGACGGGGATGACGAGGACTTGGAGTTTGGTGACTTGGAGTAGTGGGGGGGGAGGACTTCTGAGGGTGCGACGAACAACACAAGGTCGGACAAAAGGTCTGGTTGGGCAACACGTGCGCACATTCGCAAGGGCGGAAGGGGAAAAAGGGGGGAGATGGAGAGAAGTAGGAGACAGTTCAGGAGTTTGTGTGTGTCTATGAGTGTGCGAGAGAGTTTTGTGTGTTTTACTGGGCGATGTTCAGTGAGCCGCAACGGGGTGTTGGGGGGGGGGGAAATGGCGATTATATTGGTTGTGGTGCACCGGGTAATAACTTCACAAGGTTGAACCGAAGCGAAAATGTCATGGTAACGCGGCTGGAGGTGTGTGTGAGTGTGTGTATATGTGTGTGCGCAATCATGCTTGGCTGACGACCTGCAGCGTTGACTTTTAGCTTGGCTACCTAGGCCTTAATGTTTTGCTGTGCTGTGCTGCTGCTGCTGCTGTCGCTGCTGTGTCCGCAGGTCGCCATCAAACGTGATTGCATATTCCCAGCAAGGCACGGAACAGAAAAACCGAATCAGTACGACCAACCGCAACGCGCGATGTATTCTTCAGGACCTAGAACCTGCAGCTCGTGAAGCGCCGATGTTCAAACCAATCTAAGAGACTAGATTTGAAGCAGCCGAGGCTGTCAAGGCAGGCTGGCAGTCAAGCCGTTTGCGGAAACCGCGTTGTTTGCGAACGAAAGGCTTTGACATCTTGAGGCCTGAACAATTTGTCTCACAAGCATAACACGCCTTGGGTATTCGACTTATGACTTTTGATGAGTTTATGAGCGGAAGGAACTGATGGGCGGCTGCAGTCTTTATGTGCGCCTGATTTTTGAATTTTCCGAATTTAAAAATTCCGAATTATTTTCACCGAAAACGAGAAAAATGGAACCTGCTCCACACTGTAGCACTTACAAATCCTGCTACATGGCTACAGCTGAGACTCATCCGGAAGGGGATGGGAAGACTAGGCAAGACTAGGGTACGCAAGGAACTCTGACTGAGAACGGCGGTGGATTCCCGCTGGGCCTTACATTGTCAACGAAATTCCAACCGCCATTCATCCGATGTTTCGTTAGCCTTCCTCCTGAATGGACACGATTCGTCAACCCGCCAGTACAACATCACCACCATCACCATCCCCCCTTCAGCATTGCGGTCGATACGCGACCCAACATGTACGGTGCAGTCCGCAGGTTGCACACCATCCACGTGTTTGCACGAACGTGTACGACACTTAATCACATAGATTCATGCACATGCAAGGCGGTTGCCACGCATGCACCATCGTCCACACACAGAGACACACACACAGTAATCATTAGAGGACTAGGGGGGGAGGTCCTATATGCCGCAAAAAGGGCGGGGAGGAGGGCCTTATGCAAGATCTAAGTAACTGTATGCCCTCCTCCTCTTTACCCTCACGTCACCACCTCCCTCCGATGCGGAACCTCCCCTACCTCCCCCACCTACCTCTGTCGCCCCTATCTCCCCTCTCCCACCCACATACCTCCTCCCCCCCGGGCATAGTCAGCGTCACCCGTCCAAACCCGCCGTACGGAAGACCTGCCCGGCTGCCTCCTTGCGACTGATCCACCCGCCCAAGCGGCGCACCAGCGCCTCCACATCCGCATCCACATCCGCATCTACATGAGGCGGCGGTGGCTGCAAGCCCCTGTGGTCCTCCCGCCCGTCAGCTGCTGGCGGGCCCCCCCCACCCGGCCCCG